GGGGGTGGAGTGGTGAGGTGAGGGCAGGGGATCTTTGGCTGTGACAAGTACAAGCCACTTGTGCGTTGATGATAATTTTTACATTTTTGGGGCAACGACAGCAGCAGCAGCAGAGAGAGAGAGAGAGAGAGGTGGAGAGGATGTTGGATGTTGGACGGTGGTCCAAATATCTGAAATCGGCTTATGTCGCCTGCATTGTGCTGACAATGCTGGAGGAGCTTTTGTTTTAGCCATGGCCATAACATGGGCAATCAACGGGGTGGCCACAGCCTGTGCGGCCAGGCATTGTGTGATTTATGAGCAGTTTTAATTTAAAAGCAATCAATTTGAAAATATGTAGCCAAAAGAGTTTGGATGGCAAGAAAAGTTTCAGATAAGTTCTGCATTGTAAGATTATAATACAAAAAGTCGGGGAACGCTTTTGGAAGTGTCATCAAAGAGAGTACAAATAAATTGAAAAATGTAATAGAGTTAAGTTCCAATAGCAGTCATAATAACAAATTTTACACGAGCAATTATCACAGTTAATATTCTCTTAAATAGATTTTGCAAAGATGCAAGAGCTAAGTATAATCTCCATACTAACTTAACGAGTACTTGTTTATTACGAATTCTAAACTAAAATAACTAAATATTATAATAATTTAATTTGTAAGTTACTGCAAATAATGTAAGCCAAATAATTATTTCAGTTGCATTAGCACTTTTTATAAAGGGAGCTATCTTAAAAATAAATAAAATAAAAATACATAAAAATATATAATTAAAAGATAACATTAAACTAATATCAAGGGCAATAAAGTATAACAAAATTGCTTCTGTTTTGGTAACTGTTTCAAGCCAAAAGTCTGCCGATTAGGTTCTGTTCGCGAATCGGGGTTCGATGGAATAGGATTGTTTTCAATCTTTGCTCACTTCGAACATCTGAAAGATAAATTGAATTTAGTACACTTTGGGTAAGATTGTTTTTTTTTTTTGGGTAATCACATTGACTCTAGAATAATAGTAAAATAATAAGAATGCCGTTATAGATCGGAGGCGTGTAAATTGAACTATAAATTTATAAAACCGACCGAGATCTCCGGTGAAATGTAGTCTGATGTTAATAGTTTTTTCGATAGGTTCTTCGTTAGAAAAGTTGTTAGGCAAAAAAGTTCATAGAAAAACTCATTTCAACCGATAGTTCCTATGGTAGATATATGATATAGCACATTCTGCAAACTTGATACTTGATACATGTTATTAATTTAAATTGAAGATGAGCTATCAATAATTATTAAGCCATGGGTCAAAAGTGACCGTCGGTTGCTTTTCTAATGAGCCAAGTGACATTAGCAGCAGCCTGACAATAACAAAAACCTGGGAAAAATCATTAAAAAATGTAATTATGTCAAACATTCAGGTATTATCTTGATGCATTATCCTTGGCTAATGAGCCGCACTTGGCCACAACTACAGAACTGTGAGTTGTCTCAGCGATCTTATCGCTTCAAGGAGCGCCAAAAGTGAAATCAATTAAAATTTATCACTTTATTTTCATTAAGAGACAAAAGTCAAGCGGCGGCATTCGCCGCTCCTGTCCCCAAGGTACAATTCGTTATCAATTCGAGGACAATGGCGGTCAGGATGTGGCTTAACTGTAATTTGTCCGGGCGTCGACGCAAAGTTGCCAGCGATGAAGAAGACGACAATAAAACGCCGCAACGTTTGTCGCTTTAAATAATAAAAACATTTGATTTGCCAAAGGCGGCACGTGCCACAACGACGACTAAGGACGCGCAGTGATACGCTGGGCTGGCAGTGCGCAACCAAATCGCAGATAAAGCCATCGCGTAAATTAATGGGCGGCACGTGTCCTTGACGCTGCCACAAAGAGACCAGCCACGACTCGAATTGGCATGGGGATTGAAATTTGGATTCGCATTCGGATGCGGATTGTCATTGAGCTTTGGATTGGGCAAGCTGTCCACACTGGGTGGTCTGCATGTGTGAATTTGGGAGCAGCTTATGGACAGCAAATTATCGGCTCTATATGGGTCTTGTTTGTGCTGCGCCTGATAATTGAGGCGTAAATGTTGCCACACGTTCGCACACTCGTCCGCAGCTCATCTTTGCACATTGTCGCCCTTAACTGACTCCAAAGTGAAGTTTATGATTTGTGACAATTGCCACGGATTTACGAGCAGAATGTGGCTTATGAGTTTGCCTCTTCTTTTATTTTTAGTGCAGCTATTCGGTTTTAGTATGGATTTTGCTGGCAACTAAGTTGCTGATAACTCTGTAAAAGTTTTGTGCAGGATGCCAAACGCATTTGCGAAGTGCATAAAAAAAATGTAATAAGCTTCCCAGATTTAGTAGCAATGAGTTGAAACAAAGAAGTTCACATAAACAAAGGATGCTTTTGATTTTCCAGCTGATGAGCTGGTTTCAAAGTGCTCGACAAAACCTTTGACCATATGCGATAAAAAATCGCAAAATAAATGCGTAATTCGTTGCTCGAATACCCTTAAAAAATTACTTTACACATATTTACAGAATATTTAACAAAATAGAGAAATATTGTATTGTCAAAGAATTCAAACTCTCAGTATTTGTTGCAAACAAAATAAATTAAGTATATATTATTTTTGTGGAAAAGTTTGTGATTTAATTTAAGAATCAATCTCAGATCAGGTTATATAGAAAAATGGACAAATTTATAAATTGTCTATTTTAAAAATGTTAGTATTTTGCTGATATTATTCATTTCCCAAAATGTATTTGCTTAAATTTGATTACTGGAAAATATATTAAATAACGAATGTAATAATTGTTAATGTTAGAAATATGCGTAATATTTATATTATTTATTTCATAATAGTTATTAGCGAAATTCATTGACTGACTACAAAAGATTTTTAACTTCTGACCAGTGTCCTCTTGTTTTTGACTTTAACTGAACAATCAATCAAATATTGGCTCAGATAAGTCTTATTTAAATAATTTCCCCAACTGAGCATAACTTCTAGTTAAACATAACAGCTAAAATAATATATACAACCGGAAACATAATAAGCAGGTTGATCACCTCATATTTAAGAGTATACAATGAGTATTTAAAATTTACACAAAACACAAAAATAAGAGAAGTCACACCACAAATGCAAGGGGAATTCTTGGTGATGATGAAAAAGGGGGAACGGCAGACATATGGCCACTTGGCAGCGTTGGAAAATAAGTGGAGGATATGCTAACAAGTCGAGCAAATCGCAGGACAGGCGAACAATTGTCAAATAACCACAGGACATGCACTTGAGCGCATCTTGTGTGTGATTGAAACAGGATGTGTGGAAGAGTTACAAGGTGGATGATGAAGATGATGATTCGACGGTGGATAGTCCCCCCGGTCCAGTTGCTTTGATCCTTGATTGGAGTTGGCTGGGCCACTCGAGGCGCAGCTGTGACACTGATTGATGAGCCGAGGGGCCAGCGATTTGAGTATCCATAAACAGCTTTGAGGATTCCGCATCAGCGATTGCTTTAATCGAATATCTTATGGATTGGAAGGGGTTGCGGCTCGCTGAAACCATGTAAATGGTGTCAACTGTGGGCACCATAAAAAATAATGACCAGCAGAGATAAAATATATTTTATGTTATTGCTCCACTTCGCCAATTTCAGCAGTAGCAGCAGCGGCAAACAATATTTACATTTTAAAAGTTCCAAATGTACCAGTTAAATGAAGCAGAAGCAAGATTGTCGCCCCGCCACACAAATGGTTCACATTTTATATATTTAATGGTGCAGGAGACTGCGGGGAGGGGCGGATCCAGCAGACGCTTGCAACAAAATCGAAAACAATGGTAGTCCAACAACAACTAAAAAAACGGATAGACACGCCCCCACTCTGAACCGCCCTGACAATCGAATTTGCACACTGGACACATTTTGTAAATTGATACATTGGACACTTCTTAGAGCTGGCAAAGAATTTGGCAATAAATCATAAATCAATACGAAACGCTGCCAGGCAAAGCGGCAATCGGAAGCGCCTCACTCATGTCCTCATGTCCAAGTCCTGGGCATTGGCTAATGATGTCTTAAAAAACGATTTTGGGCCCAGGGTGGCCAAAAAAAAAAAGTGGCAATGTCACAAAACGAGGGCAATTGATGTCCTCAGGTCAAACGCATTAACAAAATTGCCATTTCAGCTGGCGAAACTCTTATATTTATGGTATATATAAATATATATATATATATATATATGTGTGTGACTGCTTATATGTGTATAAGTGTATGTGTGTGTGTGTGCGGCTAGGAAATTGAATTTCCACGGCGCTAAGTGGAGACGGAGCAACAATATTCTAGCAAATCGGCTTTAAGTCATGAAAAATAATAGACAACCCCCGACGAGTAGTAAAAAGCAGATTGCGAGGCGCGTCAGCAGCCAGAAAAGATTGTGGAACACATGCTGTGCCGCATATGATGACTGACGAGGACGACGAAGAGGACTAGGACCAGGAACAGGACGAGGAAGGGAAAGAAGACGACTTTGAGCGCTTATCAACTGGGAAACACGCATGGGATGTGGAGGGCGGCCAAAGCAACATGTGAAACTTTAAGTATACATATATATAATATACAAGTGTATATATATATATATTCTGAGAGCATTTCCATAATTAGTCTGAAAGACATTAATCTGATAAATAAAAGTATGCTTTTAATTTAATTTAACTTACTGACAACTAAATTTAATTGTCAAAAAGTAAAAATTGTTTCAATATTTAATACCAATATCTAATTTTCTAGATTTTTTCTTTTAGTCGTTTGACTCCAAAAGTTAGTCGAAAAGAAAATAAAGAGTAGTCAAATAAATATTGATAAGACAACATATTTTTATATCGTTTTTATAATGACGTTTTCACTTAACTATTTGCTGCATTACATTTTATTTTTAATTTTTAATTATTTTTATTATTTTTACTATAACTATTACTATTACTACTACTTTAAAACTTATTTAACGCTTATAAGCTAAAATTCATGTAAATCATTTAGAATGTGTTACTCCCAATAAAACTAAAGCAGATTTACATTAAAACTATTCCAAACAATTTTAAAAAAGAGTTACTTTGCAGAACACATTAGTCTCTTATGTTGGATGAGCTAGGTTAATGCATATGGGAATATATTTGTAGTTTGAATGGAAGCATTTTATAGATACATATTTCGTCAGCAGGATTGTTACAATTATAGCTCTTCGACCAACCCTAATTGTTAAACTAATGATAGAATCTTTGTCGGATTGACACTATAATACCAAATAGCTCCCATAGGAAAAATCGGTTGGTCTTTTCAATTGATAATTAAATTTGGTGGATTGCGCGTAAGTTAGACGTTCTTTCTTGTTAATAATTCTGACGAAAACTATATTTATTTATTGTGCGTCGGAAGTCTATAAATAGTAACTTAATATTGGTCTAATGAAAAATGTCATCAAAACATCACATAAGCAGAAAAATAGTTGAATTCTTGAATATCAAGTTTCGCTCTGGGGATGCTCATCTTAAGCTCACTTCGGGGTAGTGATAACAAAGACCGAGGATTGGTCACGTGCAACTTAAAGGCAAATATTTATTTCGTGGATCAGCTCATATCTGTATCACCGGGTATCTCGGAGTCCTCAACGGTGCGCGTGTCAGGTATGTAAACCTTGAAGGCAAACTTGGACTTGACAAAGGAGCCGGTGTTCAGCACCGTGCAGCCATGCTGAGTGCTGGCAAAGCTTTGGCACGAGTCACCCATCACAACGAGATCGGGCAGTGGATAGAGCCACAGTGCTGGATCGTAGTCCCAGTGCACGGGCATGGCAATAGGGTGTATGGGCACCAGATGACCTTGGCAGACAAGCGTGCGCGCAAAGTGTTGCTCAATGTGCGTCGTGTCCGGCGGAAAGTGCAGCGTATTGCGACAGAACTTTGCCATCAAATCCAGACGACAGACGACAATCTGCTGGGTGCAATACTGCAGCCGGCACGGATTTGTTGCCAGCTGAGTGCGTGGCCAGGCCTTGAGCAGTCCAGCAGCCAGACACTCGGGCAGCGGAGCACGTGGGAAAATGTTGGGAGCTGTCGGATCCTCAGCGGAGGGCACCAAAATTAAATCAGTTTGCTTCTTCAGCTGATCACAGCCGGCAGCCAGTGCGCCCAGCGCATCCAAATGCTGACGCAACTCATGATGATTCCGTGTGCTGGCTGTAAAGGCGCCCATAAGCACAATAGCCTGTGGCGGACAAGAATCGTATCCGACAAAGAGTTGGCGCAGTTTCTCCATCACAACAGGCAGATCCAAGCGCACATCGGAGAGGAACACGAGTGTCGTTTCCGTATTGCTGCGCTCCAATTCTTGCAGCCGGGGCGAGTATTTCAGCAGCTTTGCAGACTCTCCGCCCCAAGTGTTGCCAGTGCCGAAGAAGGCGCGGCTGCTGCTCGCCGGCTCAGCGGGCGGAAAGCCCAAACCATCAACTGCAAGAGATTTGGTTAAAAATAAAGTTTAAGCATTAAATAAAGATTTACCTTTTAAAATGCCATTTGCATAGCTGCCCTCGGCGAGCACAAAGCAACCCTCGCAGAAGAAGCCTGCATGATAGCGAGCACCGCTCAAATCAAGCTGCACACAACCCGTCGGATCCTCCACATAGAATTTGCCCTCCTTGAGCTGTGTCAGCAGACCCAAGATGACAGCCTCCTTCAGATTGGATGTCGCCAGCAAATTCTCCGCGAATTGCAATTTGAATTTCTTTGTCTGCGCCTCGGAGGCGACGCCGTCTTGGATGACCGCCGGGGCAAACAGATCATGTCGCAGCGTCTTCTGCAACAGCATCGCATAGCGCTGCTGCAGATAGTCCGCTTTCATGCGGGGCTCGCTGAGCAGGCTACGAGGCTGTCCATCCCGCTCAAATTTCTTGATGCGCGAGTTGTAGCGAAATCGGGGCACTGTGAACGCATCGATGAGTGCGAAGACCGTCTCGCCTTCGTCCAGTCCGACGCGATTCAGCTCATTGATAGCCTTTTCTAGCGCCTCGCGCTCCACATGCGGCGTCGCCAGCTTCTGGCCCTGCAGATTCTCCGTTATGACCGTCATCCATTTCTCGCGCTCGGCCGGCTCGAAGGGCAGCAGCTGCTCGGCCAGGTAGATGCTGTTCTCGGAGCGTATTAGGAAGCCGCTCAGCTTGAATGAATTTGTTATGCGCTTACGCAACTGCGTTAATTCGTCCATCATCAGCGAAATTGTGTTAAATTTAACCATAAACACAACTTGTAGCGATTAATGTTTATGATTTTGGCGCCATTTGAACCAGTGAGCGAGCGAACCAATGCTGCACGCACTCTCCAACACTGTAGAGATGTGGTAGTTCGTCGATTACATAACAAAATTATCGCTATCGACATTTGAAGTTGGAAAAAAGCAATGCAGAATAATTAAAATTTTCTCTACGAATTTGGTTTCTGTTATGAAACCGTTTCACTCTTATATTTATATATATGTACGTATATATATTTATGTTTAATACTTGCTTAAAATAAGAAAACGCTAAAAATGTATATAAATTTGAATCTTTTTTATTTAAATGTATAATATCCTGATGCATCAATAAATAAAATCATTTTGTATGTTTTACTGCTTGGAATACAAATCAAATTTTGTATAATAATAGTTAATAATTTTAAAGGCATATACAAAGATACAACAATTTTAAAACAATCAACCGACAGAAGATTCTGTTTGTGGATTTGACTCACAAATACGTAGGTAAATTGTAAATGATTCACATTGCGTATAACAATAAACATATTTGTAGTTCTATCACTTTTTTTTATCATTAAAAAAAATGCAACGCAGAATGTTGATCGTTTCACTGGCTGTTTTCCAGTTGACTGGCTGCTATTTGCTGCACACATTGCTCGATTATGTTGTAGACAATCTCTGCAGTTTGTGCCGTGTTGAAGGGTTTATCAATGCACGGAACATGAACGAATAAAGTCCGCTTGCTGTCCACATCCAGGGACTTCAGATAGATGTAACCGCAGAGGAAGCCGCCAACATTTTTGGACGCCTTCGTCGCCGATAAACTTTTATCACCCGTTGAACGAGCTGGTGCCACGCACTCCTCGCATGTTGCATTTACAGCCTCCACAATCTTATCAACGTTGAGTCCACAGCGCAAAACATTCGCCTTGCCATTGTTTGGTAAACAGCAGGTGCCTTTGCTCAAGAGTTGGCCAGCATTATCGGGTCGACGAAACTGATGATTATAAGCGAGTTTCTCCACATAGACGCACTTGGCAACGCCTGAGACGCCGACATGCACCACCAGCTGTGGTAAATACATCAAATATGGATATTATGGATGATGTCAGCGCTGCTAAATTAAATCGATTCTGCTCACCTCTGGCTGAAGCTTCCAAATTTCTGCGACTGCCTCATCTACTGCCGTATATTCCACGGGCACCATTCTCTTCTCCAACTGGTACTCATTTCCCTCGTGGCTCAGCTGATCAGGCAGCAATTTGACAGCCTCCCAGCTGGCATTGAGCTCTTCATGGCCCAGAAATGGACCGAATCCAGTTACAATAATCAGTTTACGCTCCGCTGACGACATGATGAGAACTGCCGCCCACCATAATTAATAGCGTATTTCGCATTCATTTGTTTGTGTGTGTGTGTACATTCGACAGTGTTGATAAATACACCTGAATAAAAGATAGTACGCTGATTACATAGATTGGAGAGCATATAAACATTTATTCAATTTATGCATGTGGAAACCTTAAAATAACTTTTCATAGACCTATTAATTATAGTGGTGGTTACATATATTTGCAGCTAAGATAGTTCAAACGGTTATTTTTGATTGGCACCAAATGCACCAGGGCTACATAACTGCATTGACTAGTGTTGTGAAACTTTAACTTGCGTTATAAAAACAGTCCTGTCTTAATACTGGTTCGCCTGCCCTGCTAAGGCGCAAATACAAAGAATTTCCGGACAAGTGGTTCAATGTTAAAATCAAATTTTTGTACAAACTAAAACTAACAATTAATCCAAGTATGTTGAACTGAAAAGGAAAACACATAAAATAAAAACACACATTACATTCCGCGAATGCAAAGTGCAGGAAAAGTACAACAAATAATTCGCCGCAAAATCAAGCCAAGCATTAATCGAAATCAATAAACATTTTTCTTCACGTTACAAAAATAAAGCATACAAAATTGTACGAAGGTAATATGTAAGTATTTGGTGGGATATTAAGCTAATCTAATCTAAAACTGGCTAAAGTCAGCTACGTGGTTCATACATATACCCTCACACACAAAAATACACACAGAGACACATTTGAACTTTGTACACATCAATAATTTATTCACATTTTGTATTATTGCAGTTCGTGGAAGGCGCGAAAGGAATTGGAGAAGTTGGTGGCAACTGTTGGAGCAGCTGCTGAATTTCCCAAGAGAGGGTGGAGCCTTAAGGGTGGACTGTGGTGGTGCAAGGAGCAACAAAGAGAGAATTCATCATGTTGTCGCGCGTGCAAGATTTTCTGTCACGCCATCGACGTAAATTGATTGTAACCGGAGTCCTGGTGGGTGGTACCATCTATGCGGCTCGCTATGCCCAGCGCAAGCTGGTGGAGTACCAGGAGCGGCAGGCCCGCGAGTTCTTTGAGCGAACACGACGCGTGCATCACTTTGAGTCGACGGAGCGCACCTGCAACCAGGTGATACTCGGCATGGGCGAGGAGATGTGCCAGGCGGTGTTGGCCGAGTGCAGCACGGACGAGCTGCTCGAGCAGCTGCGCCAGAACCCGGCCAACAAGTTGGAGCTGTGGGAGCAGATGAAAATTGTATCGTTCACGCGACTGGCGACATTTGTGTATGCCTCTTCCATGCTGGTGGTTGCGCTGCGCGTCCAGCTCAATCTGCTCGGCGGCTATATCTATCGGGACATTATGACGGAGCAGCGGCAAATCACCGATGAACTGAAGCAGCAGTACTTGTCACTTATCCGCCACTTCATCACGTTCGATGGCATCCGGGATCTGGCCCGTTTCATACGCACCCAGGTGGTGGAGGTGCTGAAGACGATGCCGTTGACACGTCAATTGACTTTGGCCGATACGGGGCAGATATTCTGGTCACTGCAGATGGCCATCAATGGGGACACACGACACGACCCCAATGCACACATGAGCAAGTATCTGTTGCCGGATCAAATACGGCTGCAGCAGAGATCCGATTGCTCGCCGCTACTGCAACAGATGTACAACGAGACGCTCGATCTGCTGGAGAGCGAGGAGTGCATTGGTGTCTGTGCGCATAATGTGAGTCGCGGCTTTGTGCTCAGCTGCGATGCCATTGCCGAGTCTATGGGGCAGACCTTGCAGCATCTAGCGCCTGGCGAGCTGCAGAATCAACAGCCATTGGGCAGTTCCAGCAGTAAACCGAGCAACAATAACAATCTATTAAATATTAATACGGTGCTGCTGGCACTGGCCAAATTGATACCCATCGTGAGTGGACTCACCTCGCATGGCTATGATGCCACCGCGAGGCCACAAAATCTGCCCACCCAGTTGCTCAGCTTCTACGTGGTATCGGAGAAGACGAAACTGTTGGGCGCCAATGTTTACGAGACCTTCAGCTCTGGCTAAGCGGAGCAATCCTAATTGTAAATTGTGCTAAGCTAAGAATATACCATATAGACGATATATATATATATATATATATGAACAGATCCGATCTTGTGTTTAGTTTTATGTGCATGTGTTTGTAAGTCGTAGCTAAGTTAAGGAAAATTAAATGCAAAGGGATTAGCTTAAGGCAACCAAAATTGAACGAAACATTCGAAACAACAGTAACACGAGAAGGCCTTTAAAAAACATATGTGTATGGAAAAATATTGAAGAGCGAGTTTTTATAATAAATCGAAACAAATTATAAGCAAGCAAATCTGTTAAACTTGAAGACATTTATTAAATATATCAAATGCGAAAGTGGGAAGTTTTTATTCTTTCATTTAGCACGGACACACCGAAAATTTCCCACTTACAATGGGGTTGGCAAAAGGGAAGAAAACCCGCCCTATCGTTGATAAGGCGAGCGGTCGCCGACAGCTGTCGACGTCGCTGCCGCCGCATCGTTTGTTTATATGATTGTTCTCTTTTCTCTCTTCGTTACGCTTTTTCTCAATGAGCGCTGACAGCGCATGCGGTTTTGGTGCTAAACAAATTCCAAGCACAGCTGCACACACACACAAATAGAAAGGTATCTTTTAGGCGCAGCGATAAGCAATCGAATGTTGTGCTTATTAATTATGCTCATAAATAAATGTGAATGGAACAAATTTGATAGCGAGTATTTTTTCACCTAAGAGCTTGCAAAAGTTTCGGCATGTCAAATCTTTGTCCGCTCTCTCTCACTCAGTGTTGGGTATCTAACCCTCTCAGTGTCTCTGGCTCTCTCTCTCAGTTATTGCGGCTGCTGCTGCTGCCCAGCTGTCTGGCTAGAGTCTAATTATTATATACATCGGCAGCGCAGTTGCAAAAGTTACGTGAAAACGTAAAGGACAAAAAGACGCGCCTTCCTCCACTGCTTGCTTGCCTCTGTCTGCGTGTGTGTGTGCGCGTGTGTTTGTGTGTGTGTGTGTCTGCATTGTGTGTGCAGAAAGAAAAACAACATCATAAAATGTGCAAAAGCATGCAAAATATGTTTAAAATAAATAAATATCGAGTCTGCTTTTAAGCAGTAATACATAACAACAACTGCAACAGCAGCAACAACATCAAGAATCAACATCCAAAATTTGTGTAAGTTGAAATGTGCAAAATGTAAGAAATTTGTCAAGTGTTAATGTTGATGCCCTTTGAGGTTAAAGGAGTCTTTAACCCAATGCTTGAACAACGCTATTATTGATTAAGACAACTCAGGCACACATGACGCAGACAGACAGACATTTGCGTGCCTTACCATTAGCTCCAAAGGTTAAAAGGGTGAGTTAGGGGGTGTCTATATATGTGACTCGACACCCTAACAAAACTCGCAATGCAAACCGATAACTTATGCGTACACACGCATACATGTGTGTGTGTGTGTGTGTGTGTGTGAATCTACAAATATGTACTTTTATTATTAACAATAGCAGAGCGAGCCATGAAACTAACAATCCTAAAAAAAATACCAACTCCTGGACTAACTCAGTTATTAGGGCCCAGTGGCTTTCTACAAGTGAGCAAGTCAAGTGTGACAACGTGCAAAGTATAGACAACAATAGGGCATACTCCCTACAAGCAGCCCAAGCACCCCTAGACCCCAAGCACCCCTAGACCCCAACAATATTTATGAAAACAATGCATGCAAGCCAAGAGTTGGCCGTCTACTCGTATATAGGCATATTGACATACTAAATGCAAAGGATCAAGTAGCTTGACAATGGGCCACGCACACTACAACTATAAATATAAATATAAATATATACATATATTCACTTATGAGTTGGAGGTGCTTCCCATGTTTGTATATGGTTTTTGGTTTTGGTTTCTCTAATTGGCGACTTTCTTGTAGTTAACAGACCTCAAGGCAATTACGAATGTATTGCTATTTAAGTAGCTTCTTGGAATGTGATTCTAGCATGCTTTCATTAGCTTTCTTTAATGAATGATATATTTTCCATATATTCCTAAACAATGTATTGGAATTGACAATAAGTTGCTATTTATGAAAAAGGTTGTTGCAGGCAAAAGAAAAAAAGCTGACTCGTATCAGTGACCTATTATTTTTATTGTTATTATTGATTTATAGTAATATTCATTTAGAGATGTTCGCTCTTTTATGTTTTCTCTTTTTGTTGTTCAATTTTACTGGCACGCAATTCTTTCCACAAATGACTTGCTTTAAGCGATAATAAAATGCCGACATATGCTTTAATTAAAAACATAAGTCAATACTCAAGGTACTTTTTACAAACTGATAAAAAACAATTACCAGCTAGTACAAAGGGAAAGATAAAAGAATATCTTTTTTGCAACATTTGTATGTCTCTTATTATGAAGTGTTTGTCGATTACAGTTCGACTATGTGTTTTTATGTTTGAAATATTTATTTCTTAAAACTGTTCGAGCTAAGAATCACAAAAATTATTGGCTGTTTCATATGTTAGACTTATACAATTAATTTGCCGAGTTGGAAATGATAGAAAAACCCAATCAATAATAACTACTGAAAGTCCAAAGGACACTTTCAATATTCCAGCACATATATATTCATCCACCACTTGAAAACAGGAATTACCCCATGTCAATCAAACACACACAAACAAAGAAAATGTGTGTGTGTGTGTGGTTGGTGGTCTCTATCTTTACGCTGCTTTGTATGCCACTAAAGTCCTACTTTTGCAACATGAATGAATGGCTATAACTGCATTTTTTATGAGAGTGAAGTTGGTTGGCAGACCGATGCCTTCTTTCGGGGACTGGGAGTGGGCCTGGGTTTTATTCGTCGTCTGTTTGGCTTGTCAAAAACGTCAAAATGTGCGATAGACAGGAAAACACAAGCACACTGCCTTACCCCCGCCCCTTACCCTCACTCCATCCTAGAAACTAGCGCGTGGTTACTTAAGAGTCCTGCAATAACAACAACAGCAACCACCCACCTTACCACCCTGCCATCCTGCCAACCGACCAACTGCACGCTCAACGTTGCAACCGCAGGGTGGAGCATAAAGTAAACCTCAAAAGAATATGTAAAATTGTGCCACAAATGACGTTTGATAGATGGTTGTGGGTTGTGCACGGACTTGTCCCAAGTTGGTCGCAGCTTGGGGCATGCATCGGCTGATTAGTTGAATGCCTCCGTTTGTCAATACGCTTAATGATGCTGACTAAGCTGCCCTCATCCGGTTGCATGCTTAACGCTCGACTGTAATTAGATGCCCCGCGGTGGCAGCTCATAAACATATTCCTATAGCTTGCTCTGATTTCTATCTAGCTGAACTCCCTTTTTATTGCGTATACGGCACGTTGTTTTATTTGGCACATCTCCTCGAGGCAGTAGCTACTAAAACCGGCAAAGAAAATGAAAGCAAACAGTTTTATATATGTGGATGTAACTCATAGAACATGGAACAAAATGTAGCATATAGACTAATGACTTAACGACTGATTGCTGTCTTTGTTTTTCGTAAGCGTATGGCATATGACTCTAACTACGAGTAAATGACTTTTTAAATAGTTCAGCTGCAGTCATTATTTAAACTAACTGAAATGTTCTCAATACAACAATGGTGCTGCATTTAGATGGTTTATTAATCGTCTGAGTCGAGTAGGAAGTTTGTGCACTTATTATCTTCATGCATAACTGATTACGCTTAGCACGATTCTGTTTATCTGTCATTTAGAAATCTTACATAGACTTATTTCACGTATTATCAATGTAATATTCTTTCTTCTTTTACATATTCATAACTGTAGTACACCTATCTTTATTATTTCTATCTGCCTTCTTAATGTTTTTCCTATAATTATCACTAAGCTTTCAGCGCTTAACAATTTCGGGTATTTTTTTGGGTTTCCGCAAACATTTTGCATTATAATACCCCTTGATTTATTTATAATGAACTTTATTAATTTGACATTCTATTTCATTTTTAATTTTAGTTTAATTTCTCGCTTTTAATTTCAAATTGAATTTTAAATTGCTATTCCTAAAACACATAACTGTGGACTACTTTTAGTTCAAATGAAATAAGTAAATAATAAAAACTTGCACAATTGTTTGTTTCCACGGGTGCTTTACGCATTTCAACAGACACAGTGACAAGTTCTTTGCCCAACTGTATGAAACCTGCCAATGTCTTAACATTACCAATGCAGATACAAATATGCCATTTTTATCAACTTTATCTAAAACGCCCCTAGTCACATTTGGCAATGTGTCATAATTCTGCAGATAACATATAGCAATAAAGTTGATGAAGCGCCACAATGCCACGACTGCGATTACGAGTAGATATCGACTCAAATTCGGTTTCAGTTGGTCTCAAAGAGCAGTTATTCATGTGAAAGCAACCGAACAGCAAGCACCATACGACTAAAATAGATCACGGTGACAATACTCGAACAATTTCGTACTTGGGTAATAATACAGATAATTAACATTGGTAATTGGTCTGTTGTATTTTTGTTGTTATTCCAATCTACTTGATCTCCATAAATATCTAAAAATAGAAAATAATACAACTGTACTATCCGCATAGCTATTGGTTTGCCAATGATTAAAGTTTGGAAACATTTTAGAGCAAAATGCCCAAGTTAACTGGCTGAGTCGGTGGCCAGCTCCAAAACGCTTTAAACATATAAAGTGACCTTAATCACGCAAAAACAACGTTACGGATAGCAGACACAGAGACGGAACCGGAGTAGAACGGAGCTGGATTCAGAATGCGACGACCAAAAATATCGCTGAAAAAGTATTTCTATTTTACATTGATTTGTGCGCTGCTGCTGATTTTTGGCTTTAATCTCAAGTGAGTTGCATCACACTGATTTCCAATTTTTACTTATCTAATCAACTTTACACCTTCCACCACAGAGAGTACGAGATATGGAAATCGAACCGGGAGCCGCGATCCCTATTGTCGGTTACCCAACAGCAGCAGCAGCAGCGACAACATGAGGCAATAAATGAGATGAAAGGCTTGATAGTTTGGGAAACCACCTCAACATACGAATCAGCGCCGCCAGCTTCGCCCGTACCGGCGTCCGACCAGGATCAGCAGCTGCAGGAGTTAGACGCAGAGGAGGAGGGAGCAGCGGGAGATAGGCGTGCACAGACAGCGGCTACAGCTAAGCCCTGGTTCTTTCGGAATGGTGAATACTATCCGAAGCCGGCGAAGACATTTAGCAATCGCAAGGCAAGGAAATTGCATGCACCGCGACTATTTCCACAGGAGGATCAACACGGTGATCGTGTTGTCAACCAGCTGATGTATGTGCCGCACAATTACGAGCAGATCAAGGCGAGTGGCAAGCTGAAAACCATCTTGCTGTATAACGGACTGGGGCCGTGGAATGTAAAAAAGGGTCGCGAGGTTTTCCTCCGCTCCAAGTGCCCGGTGGATACCTGTGAGCTGACTGCCAATCGTGATCTGGCCAGCGTGGCCGACATGATACTCTACAAGGACACATACATACCCACAGGGATTCGCCGGCCCAACAACCACAAGCAGGTCAACATGATGTACTATCTGGAATGTCCATATCATACGCAAAACGTCAAAGTGCCGGATGCCATCAACTGGACGGCAACCTACAGGTAAAAGCTAACAACTCGACCATTACTCTTGGCATTTGCATAATTTGTTTTCTTTTACTTGCAACTCAGACGTGACAGCACTGTGATGGCGCCCTATGAGAAATGGCAGTACTACGACAATAAGGTGCAGCAGCAGGAACAGGATCACAATTATGCTCTCAACAAGACGAAAAAGGTTGCCTGGTTTGTGTCCAATTGCGGGGCGCGCAACGGCCGACTGCAGTACGCACACGAGCTACAAAAGCACATTGAGGTAAGAATTGCAATTGCGTTTCAAACACTCTTCGAACTTGGCAAGTGAGTGCTAAAGGAGGAAACTTCCTTGGCTGAGTAGTTAGTCGAGTAACTAGACTCTAGTTAGTCCGTCCCAAATGTTTACAATTTGCATTGATTTTATGTTTTGTTTTGTATACCCATATATATATATATATATATATATATATATTATTGATAACAGGACAAGCTTCCTGACCTGCCTCTAGAATAGTCTCTTTATTGTGAAACTATGTGACTTATCTTGGCATAAGCTCATTTTTATTTTACTGCAGATATTACAAAGGCTGGGCTGGGCTGGGCTGGGGCTGAATTGTAGTTTTTTTTTCTTATGGCTCATTGACAATATGGTTCATTAACCGCAACACCAATACCGCGTTATAAAAGCTGCTATCTTATATTTACTACTCTAATTTGTAAAGAAACTTCTTCTTTTTTTTTATTTACGTGCATATAAAGCCATAAAAAAACAAGAACCAACTTTTAGTAAATATACATATAAATTTCTTAAAGACATTGTGGGCATTTTTGAATTCTGAATTCATTTGTGTTTTCATATTTTGTAATCGAAATCACATTTAATAAACAGCATATCGGAAATAGTGAATACACAGATACAATTCAGCCCCATAACAACCCACCACATTGTGGTTGATGCAAATTAATTTCAGATTGCATTTAATAACAAATTGATTTCAAATTATTGTGTTAAAGGGATCACTTTTTTGTTTTCCAAAATAGTTCACGCAAATCGTCAATAACACGTTTGACTACGCTTATTTTATAGTTAGCAACAATTTTAATATATAAAATGAATAGCCGTGTCATATAGCTCACATAGGAAACAAGTTACGTTAAAAAACAATTAAGTTTGTATAAACAATATTTCATACATCTGCAAGAGTATTTCATTTTCGGTTCGGTTCTGCTTTTTTTATTTTCAATTTTTGTACTATCAATAGTAAGCTTTGATGAAAAGCATTTAATCGCCTGTTGTGGGTGTTGTTTTCTCTTCCCGGTAATATTTGATAAGACAAAATTTGCAAAGCTACATGCGGCTTTCATTTAGTTCGTTTCCGTTGCAAATTCAAATTGGAATTGTATATCTTATCATTTGACTTGCTTTCCTGACAATTGCTTATCATTCTCACAAATACTTCTTTTTGCCAGGTGGATATTTATGGGGGATGTGGCAATTACAAATGCCCTCGAAGCACTGCTGATAGATGCTTCGATATACTGGACAATGATTACAAGTTCTATTTGGCATTCGAGAACTCCAATTGCCGGGATTACATAACGGAGAAGTTTTTTGTGAATGCACTGAATCGCAAGGTGTTGCCAATCGTAATGGGCGCTCGTCCCGAGGACTACGAGGTGAGTGCTCCACGTCGCTCTTACATCCACGTCGATGAGTTTGCCTCACCGAAAGAGCTGGCCGAGTATCTGCACATACTCGACAAGGATGACGAGCTGTACAACTCGTATTTCAAGTGGAAGGGCACCGGTGAGTTCATCAACACATACTTCTGGTGTCGTGTCTGCTCCACGCTGCACAACGAGGATCAGCTGCGTAAGTCGTCCTGGTACCATGATGTCAATGATTGGTGGCGTGGTGCTGGCATTTGCACCTCGGGATCGTGGCGCAACTTTAAGGCGCGCATGGATGTGATTAGCGATGATTGAGATGGGGTCGTTGTCCAGATAGTGGACGGCGCCGGTGTCATTACGTAATCAAAATCCAATATGTGCGGCTAAATTGTTGTTGTTTTTAGTAGGTATGTTTGTACTATGTGTAAAAATTTCCCTATTCGCTTTTATCGAAGCACTCCGGGCCCGGGACCCGAAGTTAAAATACTACTTGTTTTCTAGCTAGAACTAAGTACAACTAATCGCTTCTAGTATATACATATTTTACTGGCGTACTATTTAAATATTAAGCATGAGCAAATCGAAAATCAAACGAGCATGGGGCAAAACAACAAACAAAAAAAAAACTCGATTTAAACATGTTCCTTCCAGGATTGAAAGAACCGCTTATCGAATGTTCAATACAAAGACAGAGCGCATAGAAACTAGCCTATAGACTAAAGATCCCAAGAAGATCATTGTAACATATACAATACCAAATAAATAAGAGAAATTAGTCTAGTTATACAAAATATATGTACTTATATATAAAATGAAATTTATATTTTAGTTGTTCAAACAGCAAGTCCAATATAGAGCATAGACAAAAGACCGAATGGACACTCACATAAAAACACTCACACCCATAAATGTTCAGTAGCTTAAATAGGTATTAGCTATTTATTGCAGGCATATAAACAAGTACATTCATACATTTGCCACATATAATTATAAATCATTTTGTAAGCAATATTTTTGTAAGCAACAAAGTCAACATATTTTCATTTCGTCTGCTCAAAGAGTTTTGATTTAAATAGCGATGATTTTTGTTGCATTAACTTAATAATTAAATGCTGCAGAGGCAAACGCACAAAGTCGCGCAATACTCAGCCTTGTCTGACCTTTATTCTCGTGGTAAGCTTCACTGCTGCAACACCTCAAAGAAACATTCCTATTTATACACTTACTAATTTGAATACTTAGCCATAATCATCACCTTTGCTCAGTTACCGCTTTCAACCTAAGTCAGTGTTAAAATCGTGCCATTAAGTAATTATATGTGTACCACTTATTTATTATGTGCATACATAGCTGTTTAGGATAGAGTATTTAATCTTCGGATAATAGCTTTGCTGACTTACTGACTTCGTGTACAGCAATGTGTACTTAACTATCATTTGATTTTTGTATATTTTAATGTGTGTAATTGTTAATTTTAGTTGTGAATTGAACTGTGTGTTTTACAATCTTTAGCAATATTTATTCGATAACATTTTATTTATAAGCATTTAGTAATATCATAAATGTGTATTTTGATTGTGAATTCAATTATTTTTAATTTTTACTGTGATAAAACAAATAAAAAAAGAATAAACAATGGCAAAAAACAAAATACAACAAATGGCAACATTTCGAATCGTTTTTGGACAACTTAAATTTTAAAAGAATACTGTATATAATTTAACAATCTATTTTCCATAATTCAGGGTAACGTATACGTAAGATATTTTAAGCATTGTAGCCAACGCAGCAAGCTGTGCAAACATTTAAACAAGATATTTTAAGCATTGTAGCCAACGCAGCAAGCTGTGCAAACATTTAAACAAAGAAAAAATTAAATGGTTTGTTGTTATTCTGAGCCTCCACTTTTGAATGTCATCATGTCGAATGATACTTTATGAATAATACTACTGATTTGTTGCTCAAACATGGCACATTTTCAGCTGCTGCAATAAATCCTTTAAGTTATTTAACTTGTCTTGCTTTGACTTCGGTTCTCCCACCGATGCTGCCACAACTTTGGCAGTTATTTTGCGTTGCAGAGCAATGGCCTCCACTTTCTTAGATAGCTTTAATAAGTTTCAGAAGAGCACGAGTTGTAGATCAAATATAAACTGTAAAGTCAGTGCAAGACTTACCTCGTAGGCACGTTTGATAATGCCGTGGGACATGCCAGCCAATTTAGCTGCATTGAAGCCGTACGACTTGGGGCATGCACCCGCTGTGTATTTGTATAGGAAGGTGACCGTCTCCTGTGTGGGATCTGTGTTGTCCTCATTCTCAACCATGCATGCCATATGACCCAGCGTGACCCTCTTATCCATGTGAAAGAAATCAATCAGATTGTGGTAATGCGTGGAGAACAAAGTCCGGCATTTCAAGCTCGCCAAAAAGTTGACTACAGATGCTGCAATAGCCGTGCCATCGTAAGTGGCCGTGCCACGTCCAAGCTCATCGAGTAGCACCAGCGAATTCGACGTGGCATGCTTCAATATGAGCGACGTTTCATTTAGCTCCACCAAGAAGGTGCTGTGACCGGCTAGTATATCATCCTGCGCCCCAAGCCGCGTAAAAATGCGATCCACAAGCGACATGCGGCAAGCGGCAGCAGGTATGTGAGCACCCTGACAAAATGGACAGAACAAGGTTTCCATGGATATTTCATAATTTCACATTTCATTCCACTTACTATTTGTGCCATGATAGTCAGCAAACCCAGCTGGCGCATCAGCGTGCTCTTGCCGCCCATATTTGGGCCAGTTAGCAAGGAGAGGGGTGCCTCCGATTCAGTGCCCAGTTGCAGCCCATTTGGTATGTAAGTTGATGGATTCACACACGGATGATAGCCCTCCTCCAGCTCAATGAAGGGTTGTGTCTGTGCCGAGACCAGCTCGGGCACACAGATGACCAACTGCTGGCGTGCATACTCCGCCAGGGCGGCGAGCACATCCAGCATGGCCACACAATCGATGCACTGCTTCCATTGCTCATAGTGATTAGAGAACTTCTCAAAGAGGCGACGAGCCAAATCCTTGAGCACTGCATTACGCACCTCCTCCGCCTGCTGCATGTCCTTCAGCAGCGCCTTTGTCTCCGCTGTGGTGTAGCGACGTGCGGGCTTCTTGCCCCTCACCTGCCCCTCAAGCGCATATGACTTGTTCACTTTGTGCGCATGCGTCTCAGGCACCTCCAGCTGATAGCGTTTCTTGTCCGAGCCAAAGTAAATGACACGACAACCAAAGTGACGCTCCTGCTCCGTTAGATAAGTCTTCAGCCGTTGCTCAACGTCAGCAATGCCCTGCTGCACCTCATCGTAGTCAGAGTCAACGCCAGGCTGAGGTGCAACGACGCCTGTTTTGTCAGCTGCCTCATGATCGAAGGCATGCTGAAAGAACTTCAGCTGCTTGCTGAGATCGGGAAAACTGCCTCCATCGGTTGGCAACTGCGTCAAGCGTTGCAAGAGCGATGTTTCACAGTCCTTAAACATAAGCGGCAATTGAGTCAATGCTCCAAATCCCTTGAGTATGCTCATGAAACTGCGCAGCTTCTGTTTGTTGTACAGCTTCTCTTCGAAGAAAATGGCCCTTGAATCCGGATGATCTGCTTGGGCCACACGCTTGTTGCCAAACAGATGAATCTGAGCCAAATGCCGCTCAAAATCCGGCATGGGCGCCAGCAAAGCTCGCAGCTGCTGCAGCTCATCGGGCTTGCTGAGAAGCTCACCAATCGCCTGCTGCCGCTCGCGAAGAACAGTTAAATCGCAGCTGGGCGCACAGAGCCAATGATGCAGCAGTCGTTTGCCAAACTTGGTGCAGCAATTATCCAGCGTTGACAGCAACGAATGCTCCTCGCCAACAATGCGCAAATTGGACAATGTGGTCGCATCCAGCACCATGTGTGAACGGCGCAACGTAGAAGCCAGCGCTGCTGGGATATTTTCCAGCTGCAGCTGATCGGGCGGCACATACAACTGATAACGTGCCATTGGCAACACCTTGGGCTCCAGCTTACACTTGGCTATGTAGTGAATACACTGACCGAGCGCCTTGAGTGCCAGCTTGTAGTGATCGGCGGGCGTAAGGCCCAAGTGATCCGTATCCGATTGCATGCTGCGCAACACCAGCGGCCAGTTGTTCTCGGCCGGCCCACCGCCAGCATAGTAGCGTTCCGCAAGCAACTTGAGTGTCTTCTCAGCGCTGCAAAGCTGTGTTCCAGTGGCTGGCATCTGCTCCTTGAGAATGCCGCCTAGCACTGTGCGCAGAATTTGTTGGGTGCGCGCACTGAGTGCTGATTTCTCATGAAGTAACTAAGGACAATGTTAATAATGGATAAGGATAATAATAATAACTGGCAAGAACTGCCATACCAAAACTCACCAGGACGGGCATGTGATGCGAGAGCAGCGTCAACAGGCGAGAGCAGCTTTTGTCATCATCGAATTCGCCCACATGGAAGTCACCAATGGAGGTGTCTATAAAACAGATGCCATATTTGCTCCAGGTGCCCTCATCCTGCTCGACTATGGCCAGCATATAATTGGGCTGATGATTGGGCCCAATGGCGCACTGAGATCCAAACACTTGCGTGCCCCTATCCGTAATCTGGCAGATCTCACGGGCAACAACCTTATCGAATTTCGTTGGCTTGATCAGTTTGCAGCGCTCCGTCATCATGTCCGGCGTCTCAGTTTGCTCCACGCGAGCCACCTGGGCAAGAGATTTGTTTTACAACTTTGCAATTAGAACTGTTGTCCTTATACTCACCTTATATCCCCTGTCTATCAATATGGTGGACATCTTGTCGAAGGAGATCTCTGGGAAGCCGGAGTGAGCGAATTCGCCGCGCATGTAGGTGAAACCCAGCTCTTTGACACCCACATCGGCATCGCTGTGATACAACTCATAGAACTTGCCCACCTTGAAGAAGAGCACACAATCGTAGTTGTCCGACTTGAGGATCCACCACTGACGCACGCCCGGCGACAGCGAATTCAGAAACTTCTCTGGCACATGCAGTGTGCTCTTATCGTATTCGGGATGATCGGGTCGTCTGCCAGCCTTATCCTTAATCTTGTCAGGCTGAAGGAATTCCAGTTTCTGATGTGGCCACAGAACAGGCTCATCCAGATTTGTCGATGTTGTGGTCACAATCTCATCGTAGGCGGCATCCTTTTTGGCATTGCTCTGCAGCTGCTGCAGCTTCTCCATGAATGTGCCACCTGCAGCCAAGACAGTTGTATCCATTTTGGTTTTCTTGCTAAGAGGCTCATTGTTATTATTGTTGTTGTTGTTATTGTTGTGGTTTTTGGCGGACTTCGTTCGACGCTTCTTGGGCGTGGGACTCTCCTCTGATTCGGGTTCACTTGACTCGACTTCATCATCGCCACTGTCGCTCTCCTCACTGACAGCAGCCTCCTTGCTATCATCTGGCTCAAACTCGGACCCATCATCCGAAAAGTCCTCCTCCGATTTGGATTCATATTCCTCCTCTTCGCTCTCCGATTCGGGCAAAATAATGCGCTTACGCTTAAGTTTCCCAATCTCCTCCTCCTCCTCACTGTCTACCCCATTAGCAGCTGTGCTGGGTGAAATTGACAACTTGCGCTTGGCAGCTGGCTTCGATTCCTTTTGCCCATCCTTCCCATTTCCATTCCGTTGATTTTCCTTTTGCGACTCGTTCGCTCTGTTCGGTGTAAGTTTGTTTTTGTCAACTACTGGCGACTTGGTAAAGTAATTGAACAAAGTGTTCTTGGGAGTGCCGCCAGCACTAGTATTCAATTTCTTGGACATTACTCAAGCGTCCAACCTGGCTTCCAAATCGCGAATGACGCCAAAAATCTGCGCCAAAATCGAGCGGCAAATGTTACCAGGGCTCTAACATAACTATAACAGGGTACACAGCAATGATACGATTGATTGAGACAGTGTGGCAACGCTAAAACACAACAGCTGTTTTGAGAAGCTTGTAGCAAATTAAACGTTTTGCTTACAACAAATAGCCGCAAAAGAATAATAAACTCAAGTGCAAATATGTCGTTAGCGGATGAGCTACTTGCAGATCTGGAGGAGGACAATGACAATGACATCGATGATGCGGAAATAGCCGATGCAGACGATGTGGAGCAGGCAACACTCACCGAGGAGCTTGCCGAAAAGTTGCTGAAGCCAACGCCAAATCTGATGGAAGTCGATGTTTCCGTTCAATCTGTGCGAGAGTTGTGCAAGCTGCGCGATTCGGATCGCTTGCAGAACACTCTCAAGCAGATCGAGCATTATGCGAGCAGGCAGCGCACCGCTGCCGAAATGCTTGGCAGCGTGGAATCCGATCCGGAATATTGCCTCATTGTAGATGCGAATGCAATTGCCGTGGATATTGACAATGAGATATCCATCGTACACAAGTTCACCAAGGATAAGTATCAGAAACGATTCCCCGAGCTCGACTCACTGATTGTGGGTGAAATTGAGTATTTGCTGGCCGTCAAAGAGCTGGGCAACGATTTGGATCAAGTGAAGAGCAATGAGAAACTGCAGGCGATACTCACTCAGGCCACCATTATGATTGTCTCCGTCACTGCATCCACCACACAGGGGTAATTAATAATAAATATTTATTTTTAAAGCTGTTATAATTGCTATTAAATTCCAAGCACCATGTTGACGCCAGCGGAGAAGGCTAAAATCGATGAGGCCTGCGAAATGGCGATTGAACTCAACAATTTCAAATCGAAGATCTACGAGTATGTTGAAAGCCGCATGACCTTCATAGCGCCCAATCTTTCCATGATAGTGGGCGCCTCCACTGCAGCCAAGCTCCTGGGCATTGCCGGCGGCCTGACCAAACTCTCCAAAATGCCTGCCTGCAATGTGCAGGTGTTGGGCTCCCAAAAGAAGACGCTTTCGGGCTTCTCGCAGACGCAAATGTTGCCACACACGGGCTACGTTTACTACTCCCAGACTGTGCAGGATACCGCGCCGGATCTGCGACGCAAGGCAGCGCGTCTTGTGGCCGCCAAGGCGGTGCTGGCAGCACGTGTCGATGCCTGCCACGAGAGCGTGCATGGCGAAATTGGACTCAAGTTCAAGGAGGACATTGAAAAGAAATTGGACAAATTGCAGGAGCCGCCGCCGGTAAAGTTCATCAAACCGCTGCCTAAACCCATCGAGGGCAGCAAGAAGAAGCGCGGCGGCAAGCGTGTGCGCAAGATGAAGGAACGCTACGCTCTCACCGAATTCCGAAAGCAGGCAAACCGCATGAACTTTGGCGATGTGAGTATTGGCTTATATCTTGGATATATGTATATTAACATTTGATTCTATTGGTAGATCGAGGAAGATGCGTATCAGGGCGATTTGGGTTACTCGCGCGGCACAATTGGCAAGACGGGCACGGGTCGCATCCGCTTGCCGCAGCTGGATGAGAAGACGAAGGTCCGCATTAGCAAGACGCTGCAAAAGAATCTGCAGAAGCAGCAGGTCTACGGCGGCAACACGACAGTGAAGCGCCAAATCTCTGGCACAGCGTCCAGTGTGGCGTTTACTCCGCTGCAAGGCCTGGAAATCGTCAATCCACAAGCGGCGGAGCGATCTCACACGGAGGCCAAATATTTCTCGAATACATCCGGCTTTTTGTCCGTGGGCAAACGGACAACTTAAATCAATTATTGTTTATATTTTCCTATAAAATCAAGCACATTTATTTAAATAGTTGTCTGCAATGTGAGAAATGAGTTTCGGAATAGAGTTAGGCCTAATAAAGCTGGAGAGATTCTTGAAATATGTTCCAATATGGGTTCGCTAACTCAGTTTGCCCACCTCCAACTTGCGCTGTATGGCCTCCCATGAGTTGTTGAGGAGCACAGCCAAAATGCCCGCCACGGTGAAGACACCTCCAACAATGGAACAGCAATTTGTAGCAAAGTGACCAAAGGAGCTGCGCAGAAGGGTGAACATTTTAAGAGACTGTGTTGTATGGGATTCCATGTCGTCTTCACTTACTTGTGCCTCTCGGCATATTTAACCATCAGCGGCGACAGCTCGTAGCTAAAGAATATGCCCGGCATGCCCCGTTCGCGATCCGTTAAATCCTTGCGATGCCGAGTGACGGAGAACTGATTTGTGTAGATGGGTTCGCCGTCGGAATGACGCTCATAAAGCGTAGGCACAATTTTCAAATAATAATTAAACATTTCACTTTTTGACTCTGAAACGATGCGTTAAATAAGATTTAAAATATATAAGTAATGTTATATTATTAACTTTGAATAATATTTTTAAATGGTTCATATTTCTGTGATCATGTCATAGCTTCAATTCTGAAAACTACATCCTTTAAAACTTAAGCAGTTTATATTCCTCAGAGCAAGGCATAGATAAAATTTTAAAAACTACCTAGTTTACAACTTAATCAGTTTATATTCAAGAGATTCTAGAATAGTTCAAATTTTGAAAGGAGCGAGTCGAAGGCCTGGGTTAATCCTCGCTAATAAGGCATTATGCTTAGTATTATTATTGCTAATGCTAATTCGTAATTTTATGAAATAAAATAAAATGAATAAATTTAAAAAAAAAACTGCATCGTTTAAAATTCTCAATAACATTTATAGAATTAAAGTGTCATTCTGTTATGAAAATGACAACATACACAGGAGGCGCCATCTGGCGGCATGCAACTGAAGTGTGTCGCCAGGGCTGCTTTGGCACACATGTTGAGATTTTGACAAGCATTAAATAGGGCCACATACAAATTTGTTGTTTTTTTTATTGAGTCGGCGCCGACAAATCTAAAATAATTAGTTTTTTAAAGGCAATTTTAATAACATACGCACAAAAAACGCACGCAACTATACCAAATAAACTCCGTATATTGTTAGAAGGAACAGAGGAAAAAGGGAGCGCAGCGTAGATTAACAAGAAATATGCCTTTGCCTAGCGGTTCCTTCACCCAAAGTGGTCCCACATGCTTTGACAAAATGAAGACTGGCTTCACCATTGGCTTCTGCGTGGGCATGGCTAGTGGCGCACTATTCGGTGGCTTCTCGGCGCTCAGGTGAGTTGCAACTGATTTGTGAGCTTTAATTAGCGTCGCATGACGCAAGCGTCGCACTCCATTGGATTATGTAATTGCCGGCTAAACAATTGTAACTGTTAACTTTCAGATATGGACTCCGCGGACGTGAGCTAATCAACAACGTGGGCAAGGTCATGCTACAGGGCGGCGGCACATTTGGCACCTTCATGGCCATCGGCACGGGCATACGTTGTTAAGGGTTCCCCACCCACAACCGACTTGCATTTGCATTGGATTAGACTAGAATTCCCACTCCCCCACATAAGCCCCTCCCCTCGACAGATGCTAAGTTTTCAAGTTATCATAAAATGAAAAATGTTTTAAAAATTTACGCTATGTATAAGTTATTGAAATAGATGATTTGTTAAGACAGAAAATCCAATTTCAATTCGACCTTTGTACTCACCCTCAACGTCCACGCGGATCCCATCTAACGGATGCGTCTTGGCAAACTCGATCTTCTCGCCAAACGAGAGATGATTTATGGTATGGGAAAGCTTCACGTTGGTGAACTGAAAGTCGTGTATGTGGAACTGTCGTATGGAGAAGCTCTTGCCAGGCGCAAAGTGGAAACTGCCAGCCATCTGAGCAAAATACTTGCATATTAATAAGTTCACTTGAAATAATGTTAGCTTTATTGGTCCCTTACCCGATTCACCTCCAGATGGCCCTGAATACGGCAGCCCTCCTTGAAAGCATCCTCGTCGGTACGCTTGTATTTGCCCTTGCACTGCTCGATTTTATCCACCTGCATGTTCCACTTGCGAATGCGATACGCATCCAAAACATCCTCGCAGGTGTTGCAGCAACTGCAAGCAAAGCGTAAAGATTTAAATAAATTTATAAGGATAGAAAATTCATTGGTGAACTATCAGTATTTAACAATAGAATTATATTTATAATTCTAAATCTTTCTGGGATTCTGTTTACTCCAAGAAGGGATCTCACTCACTGTGTGGAATTGTGCTCGGCGCCGTAGCAGCTGCCACAGGTGCTATTTTTGTTAGGCGGCGAGACAGCAACAATTTCCTTGATGGGCGTCTCCTTGAGGGGCTCTCCCTGTAGATCCAACCGATGCTTGAACACATCGTGATCCACGCGCAAATGTGTATCGCCCGAGGAGTCCATCGCATCCAGCGATATATAATTACAGGCCAAATTGTGCAGGGTGACGTCCAAATTGATGCGCAGCTTGTGCCCACGTGTCGTGTCCACGAATAGCTCCTCGGTCATCGTCGGCTTCATGTAGTTGAGGAACTCCAGCAGCACAAGCAGACTTATTATGCTGCTACTTATTATGGTCACTATGAAAATATATGCACAATGAGCCAAGTTTTTTGTTTATTTGTTTATGTTGTGTACAAAACATTAGAAATTACCGGCGGCGCCGCCAACTGTGCGCACGCTAAAATCATCCAAGGTACGTGGATATGCATCCAGCCGTCGTAAGACATCAGCGAATTTCATTGTTTACACACGAAAAAAAAAACGAACGAATACAGCGGCTAATTAAGATAAAAGATAATTTACATGTTTTTTTTAGTATGCGGCGAGCAAATTGGCGAAGTGACGTGGTTGGTAATCAGCTGTTTAGCAACAACAAATACATACGTCGAAGTGGCCAAGCTGACAGCTAGTAATGGTGTTGCCACATCGCTTAAAATAAGTCGTATTATGGCTACGAGGCTGCCACATCAAGGCAAAGTAACGCTCATTTTTTCAAAATATTTATGGCAAATGAGAGTTTGAGCTAATGGAAAAAACAATTTGCTTTAGCTGGAATCCTGAACGTTTACAATGCAACTTTCTTTAAACTAAAAATGTGTCTTATAAGTAAATATATATATGGCATGTGTTTTCATACTTAGCTAGATTAGTTAGTCATAAATAAAAGGAATTAATGACTTAAGCAATTCGCTTATGGCAAGTGGAGGCTTAAGTGTTTTGGCTCCGCCGTTTACTTGCTTAATTAAGAATTGAAACCGGCAAATGACAAGTCCACCTTCTCCATATGCTTTTGCGACTGGAGCATATTGTTTAATAGTGTTGTCATGTCTTGAGGCTGTGGTTGCGCATACATTAGTCAACCTCTATACGCCACGCCCACTCTCGGGTGGGTGGTGTGGTCGAAGAGACCGCGTCTAATTTTATAATACATGTTAAACAGATGAAAGGTTAATTGAAAGGAACCACAAGTTTCGACAGCCCACGAAGCGCTTAGCTTTTAAGGGTTGTTGTTATTTCCGCAGCCCCACAACAACAACAACAACAACAACAAGGAACAACAGCCAGGAATAAGGGGATGAGTAATCGGACAGCCTAGGGATTTTGGTTAAAGTTAAAAGTTTGTGCTTAAATATAAATCACCGATGGCTTGCCTGGCTGACTGACTGACGTCGAACCTCAACCCGCACATGACCGTAAGACGATCCAAAGATACGCATACCGCGAATTTGTGTAATTAGCAATTAAGCTTAAATCCGTAAAAGCATCGTTGGACTTGGGCCTGCTCTTCCTTTGTCCGCAATTGAGATGCTCGTAACTTGAAAGCTTTTGGCATTTACTTTGTCGAGTAATCCAAAATCAGGCACGGCACCAGATGACAAAGATTAGCAGCGTGCAATTTTTCTTATTTTTGTCGAGCGGACATATAGTTAGGGTATGGGAATGAGACCCTGGATATTAACTTGTAAGTTAAGTCATTTTGAATACCAAGAGTTTTGGAATTCGAGAGAGAGTGACCGGCAGAGATAGAGGGATGTTTTGGTTGTCAGTTGAATAATGATTCAAGTTTTAAACTCTTTTTTAATTGATTTTCTTTTAAATTCTTTCCATTTTTCGAAATGAAAGCTTTTCTTTAGGTACATCTTGTAGTAGATTTATTTGGTTTAGCTTAGAATTCCAATCAGTTTAGTATTTCCCCCTAATTCTGGTGTCATCTCCTTCACTCTTTCATTATTTTTCTTCGGCTTAGGTTTCGATGTCACTATATGCAATAGGAATGCAAGGATTTGCTGCTGACCTAAAGGACATAGAGCATTCGAAAATTGTGATGTTCCCATCTCCATCCAGCATCTTTTTTAACTGGCTGCTTATCTGGTGTGCTATCGCCAGCCGCAGTAATTTGCATTTCTAACCATTTCGTTCTAACCAATTCGCGTCGTTTCTCATTTGAAACAATGAACCCGAGAACAACGAGAGTCATTGTGCTCTGTCCGGACAATAAAAGCCAAGAAACCCACACAAAGACTGAGAGTGACAGAAAGCAGAAATAGAGAGAGAGAGAGAGAGAGAGATGGGAAGAGTGTAAGAAACTTGCCAGCTGTAAAGCAGAAAAGAACTTGCCGTAAAGCAGCTTAAGCAATCAGGACCGCCTAATGGATATTGACACTTTAATGCCCGATGCCCACCAACGTCTACTCCTACAGAGTGCGGAGCAAACCGTGCAGATGTCGTCCTGAGATTTGCCTCAGTTTCTTTCCACATCTTCTTGGTTTTTTTTTTTTGCTTCTGTTTTATGCGGCATTTTGTTCTTTAAACAAAAATTGCAGTGCCGAAATTAATTATAGAGCCGCTTGGCCATATTTAATTAAACGTGAACATTTTAAACTTACTCAAGCAACCCCCCTGACTAACCACTCCCGCTCCCCTCCCACCACCTAAGCCTCTGCCTGAATGGTGCAGACCAAAAGGCGTAATTAATTAGTGGAGACGTGCCAAATAATTGCGGCAAAAGTAACTTTTCTTTTTGGTTGGATTTCTTTATTTTTTGGTCAAGGAATGTTTCAATTACGTGTATTACACACCAGATGGTAGATGGGGTATGTGAGCTTAAAATTTGTTGGTAACCATGGGATAAAAGCGGGGGTGGGGTATTTTGCCAAAGTTTCTGTCATTTCGCTCAGGTGGAAATTAATTAAATTAGCAAGCGTCACTTGAGCGCGCAATTAAGCAAAGTGTCGTAGAAAGACTTGAAATATTTTACAAAATGTATGACATTCCCATACATTTACCTGTACCTATACCTATATCTGTATATACAACTGAATATATCTAACAGTCTATCCTCAACATACATCTGTAAAAACCACTCACTTCCGCACTGAAAACCAAAAACGTCATTTCCGACAAATTAGACCAGTCAACTGGCAACCTAATATTGCTGGACTGCACATTTGTATCTACACTATTCACTTTTCAATGTGTATTTGTATTTGAACTGCCTGGCAGTGACTAACAACAGACACGGCCACGTTTTAAGCATATTTCCTGTTTTAGTCGAAAAATGTGGCCGATGGCAATTTAAAACTGCATTCAACAACTGGACACCCACAAAAGTTTCAGAGACGTATCCATAAATAAACGGTTATTTCAACAATTGTTGCCAAAAGCTCGTAGCCTGCAGTATCCATAAAAGACTGCAAGTCTTTAACTGCATTATTTTCTCCACAATTAGGAATTACAAAGGAACTCCTATTATTATACAGAAACAAATCACATTGGATATCAAAATTTAAATGTTCGTACACACAGAAAAAAAAGAGTTGAAAACTAGAAAGAAACAGAAATGTGTGTAAGATACGAAAAATGTCTTTAAATTAGATTGTCTATTTTACAGAGATAAAATTAGTTCTTAAATTTAGAAAAGAGTAATGAAATTAAGTGCTAGACTTTAGTTGGTGAATGTTTTGAATAAATTATATGACCTTATAAACTACCTGTATAATAATAAAATACACATAAAAAACACTCTATAAAATGGATTCATTTTTCTAAATATAGGAAAAATGTGTCATTGACTTAGAAAAAGAATTATCCGGGCTTTTAGAAAGAAATAAACTGCAGTCTTATAAATATATTTTCTGAACAATAAATTGACTTGCACCTAGGTTCTAAAAGAATGATTATTTTTTAAAAGTCAGGCGTGTATAACCCACGATGCTATCGCAAATTGTTTGCCCATTTCATGTCTGCAGCCCTTTGTCAAAGCACATTTCTTCATTATTGGACTAGGTGTCTGTACATGTTACCTTTTGAGTATCGTGCCCTCGGCTAAATATAGTTCCAGCCCTTTCAAAAAAGCTATTAAGAATGATGATGTTTTGCTGACCGTTCGTCCCTATGCCTGTTTTTAGGCTATCTTATGCACTGATCTTCACTTAAATTAAAGCTTTTCCCACCTGTTTCCGATTGAGAAGTCGCAACCCGTTGACATGTCGGATGTAGTTCCTATTAATTGCTTGATATTTCTTGTGACATTATTAACTGTCAACGCGCATTAATTGCATTTATAATGTGTCATAATTACTGCAAATTAAATGCTCTCACCATGAGGAACCACTTAAAAAATGTATGTGTTTTTACACTAATTAAACCTCTATATTTTTACAACAGACTTGAGTATTATAAATACGTACACACACAAGTGTAACCTAACCATTTTAATTATTAATTATTGCTTTGATAAAATGGCTTTAAGAATTTTTTCTTTATGTTGGAATCGGAATGGATGTGCCTAAAGCATTTTATTTCAATTGAAACATGTATAATTGTGTCTATGTATTTTTTTGCACTTATCTTTTTTAATTTGAAAATTTGTAAAGTCAATCTTGACAGTGTTACCAATGTTTCGACCCGTCTGACTACCATAGAATTATATTAGTATTTATAATATGTTTTATGTATTATAGTTAATACTAATAAATAAATAAATAATAAATATTATGACTTACTATATTTTGCTGTTTTAACACTTTTTACTGCTTCACTTATTTTGTTGGATTTTGGTTGTTGGACAAATAAAATGGTCCCAACTGGATCGTCAATTATATTTCTTTACAATTTTCATATTGTTTGTTTGTCACTTATTTATTTCAGTCAAACTGAACGTGGTTAAGCTACATTATTTAAATTAATAAATAAATGAATATTGAAGTCAATTATTTTTTTTCAGCATTCCGCATAAGATTTAAGAAAATCAAAAATGAATAATTACTGCAACTATATTATTTATTATGTCCACTTCAAAGACAGCGGCACCTTGGGCTAAGTTTCAACGGCTATTTATGCATTTTAATCGCGATTTATTTTTGTTTACTAATTGTGCTTCTGCGATGAAATCGATTGTAAAATTGTGTCAGACACTTTTGCAAGTTGCAACTTTGAATTGCATTAATGTGCAATGAGCTGTGAGTCAAAGGAAATGAGCATACCAATGTGGAAATTAATTTATTGAGTCCATACGTACATACGTGAATATTAAGTAAGTGATAAGTAATATGATAAGCCGAGCTTAATAATTATTATAATTTGCTCAATGTTAATGTCACTTTTTTTTATCATATATATAATGATATAATCAACAAAACAAGCGTTATAAAAATTATGTTAGCTGATTTCCTCACCGCTATTATAAAGAGATGCAAACTGCCGTCAATAACTGGTTGGTACATTTACTGTAATTTGTGCCAATCTATCTGTGCCAAGCATAAACTGATGATTAAGTTTTACAATCAGCAAGTGCCGTTTGAAATTAAATATTGAATACTTTCCTAAGGCTTAAATCAAGTTTATTGCATTTTGTCGGCCGCACCTTTTATTA